CCCGGGGGGGGGGGGGATGGGCAACCATGGAATTGATTGAGACATAAGGTACACATTTTTCGCATTTTATCATTGTCTATTGCAAGAAAACAGAAAAAGTATGATCGAATTACAGACATCAGTAAAACAAGATGACACTACTCGTACTCGTACACCGAAACCGGGGTATCTTAACCTCTCTAATTATGGAAATGTTGCCGTAAGTGCCCCGTGTGGGTCTTGTCACTGTTCATTTACTGCTTTTAAGAATAACAATGACATTTCTCTATTGTCGCATTGAATTGGTGATCGTTATCAATCTCCCGTTGCAAATTAAAGCTAAAAATACAGTGCAGTATAAGTAGCTGTTCATACAGTATCAGCCGGGATAAATCATGTCACGAAAATTTTTCCTGAACATAAATGGTAGTCTGAATGAACTTGATACTGTTACTGTAAATCACTCTAAGCTAATTTATATAAAATACAAGGTGGGAAAACACCAAGAACAGCTAACCAGGCCTAACCAAAAACCAAGTTCGCATGCATGTCATCCTTGTTTAATCCGTACTTCAACCATAGTTCAGATTCGGCACATAACAAGCGCGACATTTGAACTAGAAAGCTTCAGACTGATAGGGATGCAACTACCTGAAAAATACAAGGAGAACTTCGTCGTGTCGGCCTACAACCCAATTTATACTGATTCGCGTCGCTGCTCACACTAATCGATAATTAGTGCTGGAGTTAATGCCCGTTAGCCGAACATATAAGGCCCCGTTTACACTATACCGGATTACTTTTCATACCGGATTAATTTTTACTCCGAAGAAAAAACAAGGGTGTTTACACTATGCCGCTTCGCTCTGTTGCCAGCCAATGTCTTTCACTGTCGCCATGGAAACAAGTAGCCAATATACCAAAATGTATTAAAAACAAGAAGTAACACCCGTTTTTTTTTTGTAAAGTATAACTTTGTTTAAAAAGCTTAACCGCCAGACGTTGCTTCGTTTCGCTCTAATCCAAAATTGACGAGTATTTCTTTAAATTTTGCTCTTTCGAAAGCGAAAAGTCAATGTTATTATCGTTTTCTTTATTTGTATTCGGCAGAAATAGTAAATGGTTGTAAGGCGAAACAAACAACAGCTATAAAGTATTGTAAAAGCGAGCAAATAAAGGCGACAATGTTAAAACATACACGCCAAAACCGATTTTGTACCGAAGCGTACCGGATTAGCCTGTTTACACTGCTCCGGTACATACCGGATTACTTTTCATATCACCTCCAAAGCGGAGTGATTTTTGCTCCGCGTCGCGTACCGGATTACTGTGGCGTAGTGTAAACAGCAGCCGAATCCGGTATGAAAATCGCTACGCTCCGATGCAATCCGGTATAGTGTAAACGGGGCCTAAATAACCAGGGATTCTGGTAGCATGCACTCGATCAGTTGCTTTCAACGTCTCCCTCCAACCCACCCTTGGTTGGAAGCCACATGAGCGAGCATGCAGTTTAATAAATAGTATACAGTCTAGGCCCTGTGTAAACAGGTGACTTGTCACGGATAGGGGTGGTACCATTGTTTGGAAGGTCTCGATGACTCCTCGCCTGGTTATGAGCAGGGCTAAAGATAATGACCTTGTCACCGAATCAATCCCTACCGATCAACAGCGGGCAATAATAGTACTATATAGTTAGTTGTTATCAGCGTGAAATGTTAAAGGTGAATCATTCGAATCGCGGTGACTTAATTTGGTAAACAATAGTTAATCATGCATAATTATGCTAAATATCCTGCTCTCATGTGAGCTTTTGTGATTATAATATTTACCTTGTTGAAACATAATATCACAGAGCAACACTTCGCTTGCGACGTGCTTATATGGGTATCATAATGTCGAACAAGGAAACGACTTTAAACTTCTCACAGCGCTTGGAAGCGACATGGCTTACAGATGTTAAAAACTACCGCATCAAAAAGCGAACAATCGTGACGAACATTGGCGAGCGAAGTGCGAAGATCTTGGCCGATCCTGCGAAGGAACTTCAGCCGCGAACGTCCACCATTCTGCAAGATGTCACCATCGACAATGCCGACTCCTTGATACTCACTCACATCCCAGACAAAATAAACCTCGGTGGTATTATCCTTGATAAAGGTTGGGCGCACTTGAGCGCCACTGTTCCCGATTTCTCCACCGAATACCCGCTTTACAAGTCGGCGCAATACGAAGTTGGCAAAGTGAAATTCGACCCCTTCTTCGCCACAGGGGCAACAACTGCACCGAATCACGAGCACATGCGATGCTATCAGGCGAAAGTGAACCTCTGGTTCAGCCCAGAAAATACGAACTGTGCAATCCACAATCATCACACTGACCCAGAGATGCTCGAAGTACATACTCAGATATTTGGCGTTGGCCGTATGCAGAAATTCCACAAGCAGGAGTTCGATTCCATTTAGGAAGATGTAATTCTGGGTGCGGAAATGACGCACGTTTGCTTCGCTGGCGTGAAAGAAGACGGATCATTTTATTACCCTTGGCATCAATACTTCGCTGACACCGATTGCATATGGATGGCTGTTGAATATCACCCACAGTAGAATTTCAATCAGACGATATTGTATTCGGAAAAAAACAATGTAGTCAAATTTAGACAATTTCGGACAGACTGATAATACTTTATATAAACTTTTGGGCATAGCCGCTACGCAGGCTATTTTGGGCAAGGCACAGCAGATTAGAAGCACTCATTTGGAAACCTGGGACTGGAGAGGGCAACTTTGAATTTTTAAGCCAGAATATCTATATAATGGGCAGGGATTATTTAGGTTGTCAATTTCTCTACAAATCTAATTGTTAGGTGTTTAATTTAGTTTTGCTATGAAGCAAACTGTTTTCCTATGTAATTTAAAGATATAAATTCACTCTGTAACGAGTACTAGAACGTTTAAAGCACTGGATAATACTATAGTGGTGTAGAGTATAGCGGTGTAGAGAGAATACTTCAATTTTCAAATAAAATATTTCCAAATTATTCATTATTCTCTTACTATATGGGCCAGTTATTCACCGTGCCTTAATTAGTTTTAGCCGTGCCGTACGTGCCAAGGACGTGAGGCAAAGATAATAGAATTAGTATCTTAACAAGAGCACTCGGTGTATGTTCAAACTCGTTGTATGGTTGGAAATCAAATAAATAATAGTTGTTCCACTTGATTCCACTCTTGTGAATCACTGACTTCGAAATTATACTGGATTAAGAACATTATGCAGTGGTCCTGCCTCGTACCCAGGCGCTTTAAGTAATTACAATACATGAAGTATTCAGGTAGGCAGGCGACGCGCGAAGGGGCTGTTCAAGTGCACTCTTCCCATCAGCCCCTTCGCCATCTCTCCCAACTACAATACTTCATGTAAACTCGTCATATGCGCATCACTGTTTTTTTACAAAGAGACGCCTGGGTACGAGGCAGGCAGTGGTCTATTAAAAACATGGGAACGAGGCACGGCTCAGGATGATTTACAGTTGGGTTCCTAATCTCGTTCCTCTTTTACAACAAGAGAATTCCCAGGTGCAACTGCGCCTCGGTTAATCGACTGTGTGCGATGTATGTGGAATAAATGTACTTAGTTTAATCAGTAAACCAGGGTTGTAAAAGTGACCTATTTTTTGGAACTAGTTCCATGCTCAAAAAAGGAACTAGTTACCGGTAAAGGTTATACATGAAAATATAACTGGTTACCGTTATAAAGTCACTTCACGACTTTTGTAACTAGTTAAAAAGAGTCGGTTTCTTTCTATTGTCTTTGCCGCCTATTAATGTTATGATTTTATTAACTGAAAACTTGATTAGCGATACGGTCCGTTAGAAAAAACTGGAATTAATAGCTGGGAAAAAATAGTATCATAAACTGTTTACGGCCTTCGTAACTATTGGACGTCAATTTCCCCATCTGTTTAATTTTTGCTTCATATATGGCATATATATAGAGAGGGGTCACTGGTCGCGCTCTGCTGACCGCACGTCAGAAGGGCTCTAGGTAGGAGAGTGGGCAGCCGAAGTACTCGAAAATAACTCGTTATGTATCTTTTCAATAGCATTAGCGTAAATCCTCAATTAACTCCCTCCCCCTGGGGAACCGTTTAACAACACAGCGCATGCTCGGACACATGCATGTTCGTTCAATATAAACTTTATAATCAACGTTTGGCTGACAATACGCCCCTTGAATAAAATCATTAATAATGTATATACAGCTTAATATATTTCAAGAATAAACCTAGGAATTGCAAAAGTTCAAGTAAAATAAACATAGCAATTATAAAAAAATAGTAATAGCTTGATTTCACAAACACCCTATGATCGCGTTTACATAATGATGCTAGGGTTAGCATTTCGTTAAAAATTCACTACGTTTCTTAAGCCCCGGTCAAACGAGGGTCGATGAGAGCTTGGCAGTCACGTTTGAAACGCCAGATTAACAAAATAAAGGTTCCAACCAAATAAAGTTTCCAAATAAAGGTTGATAAGTGTTCCAACAACGTTTCAACTTAATTAAAGTGTTTTAAAGTGAAAGTTGAGAAAGCATCAAGAACAGCTAAGGTCGCGTGATTCCAACTCTCACACCTGCACTCTCATCCCCGTTTGATCCGGGTTTTAGTATTGTGTTTACACTTCAACCGTATCGTAACGTATCGTATAGCATTTTCTTTTGTTTACAAGTCATTAGTTCCACTCTAGTGCTCAGGAAACAAAGAAATACGCTATGCTACGATACGGTTGAAGTGGGAAACAGGCTTAATGGAGTGGTTTGGCGTAGCGTAACAACCACGGACCACCATGATCCACTTCACTCGTATCGTATCGAAACGTGGCGTATTTCTTTGCTTCCTGAGTGGCAGTGTGGAACTTAATGCTACAGTACGTTACGATGCGGCGAACCTTTTATTTTGATACGCGAATACACCCAGCAGTACGTGAATTTATGAACCTATTTTCAATCTAAGCATGCTCACCAGTACCTTTCGGTACGATACGTTTGAAGTGGAACACGGTCTTAAACTCGGCCTATATTTATTAATAGGTTTGGAAATGTTTTTGTGTTGTTACTTCTGTAATTGTACAGCACGTGCAGTATACATAACTTCATACGATTGATTCTCTAAGTGGTATAAAAATACAATTTTGACATGTTCTGAAAGACCTCTCAAAAAGTTCAAAACGAATGTATTCCGCGGTATTAGAAAAATAACTTTCGTTCTGGCCGGCCAATCAGATGCTTCGTTCATATGGTTCGCCTTTCGGTGCGAGAATGTTCGGCTGCCACTACTTTGCGGATGTTCGCACCATCACTGTATTATGCATTAGTTACCATTTTAGAAAATCGGCAAATTCGTTAATAAACAGTCGGGGTTGTCCGTTCTTTCCAAACAAGCAATGCAAGAAAAGTTTCTTCTCCGCAACTTGCCTTTCACATTGTATACCAAATTCTTGCACGAGTTTAGCAATAACTTTCGACTGGATTTCCTCGTAAAGTTCAAGACTGCGATCGTAAAGTAGAAGAGTGTGGGGCTTTAAATCGGTCTCCGGCATACTAGACTGTACTTTTACAACAAATCTCCTGCCATCCCGTGGTGGTGGAGGACTGAACTTTGGACCAATTTCTTCTAGGCTTTTCGCATGACGTTTAATCATGCCATCACCACCAACCCTTTTCATCGAAGTGATTAGAAAGCTCGCCTTTCCACGTAAAACCTTGCATAGTTTCTTATGCTTCGACCAGTGGCCTTCTAGGCAGGTTTTGTTGCAATACACAGCAGTAAAACACTTTCCACACCTCTTCGGTTCGCACTTCTTACGACAATTTGAGCAATACGGAACGGCAAAATTCAACTGACTAATGTTTTCACTTTCTTTGTTATTGTGTACTTCGTTATCCAGGCATTTTGCGGATTGGAGGGAATTGGGAGACTTTAAATACGACTTCCTTAAATCAACATTTGCGCTCGGCCTTCCATCTACTTCACATTTTCTCACATTGTCCAAAAATCCAAGACCAATGTTGTCATAAATTTTATTTAGTTCGACGATAGATGGAGAAAACTCTTTCCCTGCAGCTCGATATCCCACACGTACTCCCCCAGCTTTGTTGCGAAAAACTCTATTCATCGATACATTGCACCATGAATTGCTCATGGACCAAATTCCCCACATATCGTTGTCAAAAATATTGTTCTCTCTGATATCCACCTCAGAACTTATCATCCCTAATCCAAAAGCGCTATTGCCAAAAACGTTATTACGCACAATCCTGACATTCTTTGAGCAGTTGATAGCGATCCCGTCTTCGTCATTGTGGTAAATATCACAATT